AGCAGCTTGTTTTGAATCACGTTTGTTTTCTGTGTCCCCAACTGGAACTCAGGTTCCGTGAGCGTGGGGACTGTGTGTTCACGGCTGTCACCCCAGGACAGAATGACCGCCTCTTTATGGTCTCCAGGGGGCAGGTTGCTATCACCCTGTTGTGTGGGGGCAAAACTGTGGCCCCAGGAAGGGGGGAGCCTGGCCTCTCTCGACTCCCAGACCCGTGCGGTTCCAGGCCTGGGGGCTCTGGCCTCCTTTCCCAGAGGCCTGTCCCTTGGACACTGTGAAGTTGCTCACTTGCCGGTCTCAGCACCTACTGTGGGTGGCCACAGTGACTCACAGGGACCCACAGGGACCGGGACACAGTAGGCCTTCAGCCAACTGATGCCCAGCCCCCACCCCACCCCAGCTTCCCCTCAGGGGGGCCGGCACAATTTGGTGATTGTTAGAGGACTTTTTTTTCCTTTGGGGAGGAAGGCTGCAAGTCATTAAGGCCCTGGGCCCGCGGGTCACCGTTTCCTGTTTAGAAGAAAGAACCATCTCTCCTTCTCACCAGCCCCCAGCCTGACTCCAGGCCGCGAAGCTCCGGGACGCCTGCTCAGCGGCCGGCAGGAAGCTGGCACCTTCGGCACCTTTTGTGCTCAAAAGGGACACTCATTTTCTCCTGGCCCCAGGAGGCCCCCAGAGGTGAAGTCACCACTGCCAGCCAGCCAGGAGTGAATTGCCCCGCCAGGCCCCAGCCCAGGTCCTCCCATCCTCTGGGCAGGAAGCTGAATGACCCCTACCCTTTGGCCTGGCTTCTCACCCTCCTGGCTCCCGCCAGCCAATTTCCTTGCATCAAAGGCCATTTGGTACCCAGCAGCCAGACGGAGGTGTGGGCGGCCTGACAGGGAGGCCAGCAGGGCCCAGAGCCCTTGGGAACAGGAAGGACATCCTCTTCTCCAGCGGGGAGGGGCGCCAACCCTGCCCCAAAGACCTTCCCTGGCCTGAGCCAGTGAGGACCCAGGAAGCCCCCCTCGCACCCCCTGGGCCTGCTCAGCTTCAAAATGCCAAAGCCAGAGGAGGGACCGAGGCGCCAGGAGTGCAGGGGCTTGCTGGCAGCCAAGGGTCTCCGAGCCCCAGGACGCCCACGAGTCTCATCTGCACAAGTTCCCTGACAGGGCAGCTCTCCAGCACATGCCATTTCCAAGGACAAGATTTAAGGCTGTGTCAGAAGCACCAAAGCTCCAGGAATCCCGCCCTCTTCCTTTCCTGAAGACCTTTGAAAATGCCCACACCCGCAAGACCAAGAGGAGCCTCTGTAGTATATAAATTAATGCCTTTATTGAACATCAATAAACTGTATATATAACTATACAAAATGTTTCCGTAATACAAGATGTCACTTGCAATATACACACCAGTGTACCTTTAAAAATGTAAACGTCGTCCTTGTAGGCCTGCCTGTCAGGGCCCCGGAACACTCTGGGAGACAAACTGGTCAGGCCGAAGCACCCCACTCAGCCCAACAGGCAAGGCCATAACTCACAGTCCCTTTGGAGACATTGTTAAGTTGCCCGTGAAACAGGTGTCACCAGGACAAACAGGAGGCTAAAGAGCTGCCCAGGGCCAGGGGCATCCTCCGGTCCATCCTTGTGCTCGAAGCCGCCCTCCAGTGCCCCACAGATGCGCGTGGGGGCGGGATTGTTGCATAGTTGGTCACACCTCTGGAAGGTGGCGGAGGGTTCCTTGTGGGAGCACAGGGAGGGGAGCAGTGTCCTAAGTGGGGTGGGGGAGCTCCCATTCATCTGTCCGCTCTGTCCTGTTGCTCAGCAGCTGCATCCACTCAGCCCTGGAGACGCGAGCCCAGAGGCCAACTCGGGAAGCCAGGAAGCAGCTCCAAGGCCACCTTCCGTCCACTGTCCACAGGGAGGCCCGAGAGGCTCCTTCAAAGCCCATGAGGCCCCCGGGGCGCGACACCAGTCAGCAGCCTGCAACGTCCACGGGGCCACGCAGCCAGGCATCGGTGGCTTCCGTGGCGGGGCGACGGACGGGGCGCCTTCCTCCTGGATGGGGGAGGCAGCTGGGGTGGTGGCAGGCTCAGCGGGGGCCACCCGAGCAGCCCGACTCCTGGTGCTTGTGCAGCAGGGACATGCGGGAGAAGGTGCGGGCGCACCTCGGGCACTGGTACTTCTTCACGTCCGAGTGGGTCTGCAGGTGGGCGCGCAGGTTGGAGCGGTCAGCGAAGGCCCGGCTGCAGTGGGGGCAGGAGAAGGGCTTCTCACCTGGGGAGGACACAGGGAGTCACGCTGGGCGGCGGGGCCTTTCCCGAAGGGCCCGCCCCACACCACCCTGAAAGGGTCCTGGCCGCCCGCAGGTTGGGCCCAGAGGCCTGCGGGTCACAGGAGACGGTGGCTTTCCCGAGGGACCCGGAGCAGTATTCTGGCTGCTCTGAGCCTCCTCTCATCTGTAAAATGCGGCTCCCACTCACGGGGTGGGAACCCAGAGAAGCAGGACGACCACATGCTGGGACCGGGGAAAGGCTCAAGGGTCAAGACTCCACACTTTGACCCTTCTGCGTCCTCATGTTAAAGCTGGTGCAACTAAGGCCCAAAAGTTAAGGAGCATTTTTGGGGTTACCCTGCAGGGCTCCTAAGCCCTTGACTTTGGCCAGTGCACATACTGCTCTTGGTCAGCAGAAGCTTTTTACTAATCCTGGAGTCAAACCTTAATTTACACTGGGGACAAAGCTTCAGAGCTGGCCTCAGACCACTCGGGAGCCTGAGGCAGGAGAGTCACAAGTTTGAAGGCAGCCTGGAGACTTAGCGAGACCCCGTCTCAAAGTGAACTAAAAAAGCTCAGGGGCAGAGCACCCCCAGGTTCAGTTCCCAATCCCACGTGTGCCTACACACTCATCCACATGTGCACACACACTCACACACGTGCACACAGAAAGAGGAGAGAGGAGAGGCAGCTTAGGTGGCTTACCTCAGCGCTGTTCGGCCACCCTCTGGTTTGGTTTTGCGCTGAGGACTAACCCCTTCTGTGCTTTGCCAAGGAGCTACATCCTCAGCCCTTGTTTGTTTATTTTGAGACCCTTTTAGCTAAATTGCTGAGGCTGGCCTTGAACTTGCGATGCTCCTGTCTCTTGCTGGGATCACAGGCATGAGCCACTGAGCCCGCTTCCCAAGACTACTGGACTATCCGCCCCCCATCAGGCTGAGTCCCAGAGGGCAGAGGCCTCCCTTAAGTGCATTCCCAATTGAGGCTACAGAAACCTGCAGCCCAGACACTCCACCTCCCTGGCCAAAGATGTGGTAGGAAGTCTTGCACGGGAGGCAATACCCCTCAGGATTAAGTAGGTGCTCAATAAATGCATGTAGAATAAATAAACCGGCTTTTAATAAAAGGAATCAAAAAAGCTTGAGCCCTCAATCACCAGATAATGCCTTTTCACAATCCCTGCCCCACCAAGAGGATACAGTTTCCAAAACAGTGACAGTGTTGTGACATTTTGTTTTTCCTTAGGCATATAACTTTTCCAAATAAGAAGTCCTAAGGCTAATTCATTAAACAAAAAAGAAGGGGATTCTCTAGCTCCCAGCCCCAGCCTGATATGCCCACAGGCCATGACCTACCAAATTCCAGTGATGGCATTCAAGAAAAACTGAGTGCATTAAGCCCATCACCTACTGAGGGAGGGGAGGGCGGCCAGGACAGGTTCGGGCCCCACCCACTCAACAGGTTGCCATGGGCGGCCAAGAGCAGGCTCCGCCCACAGGACCACACAAGGGGAGGGGAGGAGAGAACTCGAGATGGGGGGCTGCACCCCCACTGCCACTACTGAACTAGCCCTGGGGCCGCCTGAAGGGTCTGGTGGTGGCCTTCTCCCAGGCCCCAGTGAAGCTCTTCCTCATTCACACCCGAGAACTAGGAGAGGACCAGGGGGACGAGAAGGGGACAGAGCCCATCAGTGAGCTGGGGACCAGGGCCCATCCCCCAGTTAGTGCTCAACCCAGGAGGAAGGGACCTTTTAGGGTGTGAGGGGCTGTGGCGGGTCCGAGTGCACCACAGGACCCCCTCAGACACCACCCCACCCCACCCCGCCCCCGCGCGGCTCCAGACGCCTTTATGGCGCTCGGGCAAGTGTGAAATCGGCACCAGGCTGGCGGGGACAAAGGCTGCTGAGGGGGGCACTGTACATGCGATACCCCCGGGATTAAGGGGGCCTGCCACACCATGGGCCAGCAGCTGCGGCGGGAACAGGTGCTGGGCACCACTGCCCCGTGCACCTGCTGCGCCCCTCCCACCCACCCCTGGGCCCACCATCGAGGCACACAATGGGGTCCTCCAGGACAGCGAGGTGCATTTCCACGGCCTTTTGTGCCTGAGCCAGGCCTTTACATTAAAATGTCCGGTGGGACAGGGGAGGCTGGAGGCTCCCGGAGAGCATCCTGAGGGCCTCAACACCCCCCAAATAGGGCCCCCGTTAGCTAGGCAGGCACCAGGAGAAAAGGCAGCAGTTGAACCTTTACATGCTAAAATCAGGACAATTTGTGCACAGAGAGGAACAGTCGCTAAGGAGACCTTCGAAGGGACAGGCTCCCCCAGACCACCCCCCTGACCCTCACTGCTGAAGGTCAGCCACCAGGACAGGAAATGACAGAGCTCAGCCTCCAACCTGGCCAGCTTGATCCCAATGCTCTCATGACCTTTGAACTTCCTCTCAAGTCACCCTCCAAGGATCACCCCCAAACACATCAACCTCCACCATTCAAGATCTGAAAAGGAAGGGTGCCTGCCCTCTCCTGGCTTCTGGGAAGTCTTCCATGATGAAGTATTGTGCGGCACTGAGGACCAAATCCCAGGAACTCATGCAGGCTACTGCCACTGAACTATGTACCAGCTGTTTTTTATTTTTAATCGTGGCCTCACCAAGTTGATTAGGCTGGCCTTAAACTTATGATCCTCCTGCCTCAGCCTCCCAAGCAGCTGGGATTAGGGTGTCTGCCACCACACGCAACAGTCTGTATTCTGTATTGTTTTGTTTTTTTTTTTGAAGGGATTGTGTTTTTTATCAGCAAAGTTGTTCCCTGATCTTCATGGTGGAATTGACTCAGGGTGAGGAAAACAGACCTAAGAACCATAATTATAAACCATTATTATAAAGTGATTAGCAATCTTAATAGCTACCCTACAAAGCATGTGCTATCATAATCCTAAGGCTCAGAGAGGTTAAATTGCTTAACCAAGGTCACACAGCATAGAAGCAAAGCAAATACCAACTACCATTTTTCTGAGAGCTTATCATGCACCAAGAGCTTTGCTCTTTCTTTCCACAGGCATTCTTTCATTTAACCTATACAGATACCCCACAAGGTAAAATGGGTATACTCATGCCCATTTTAGAGATGAGAAAACTAAGGATTAGAGAGGTGAAACATCATGGAAAGTTTGAGGAAGTTCTCAGACAGGATTTAGGGCAGTGGTGGGGGGTACTGACAACATCCTGTCTGACTGGGGCAGGGTGGTTTGTGGAAGGAGGAGCAGGGTGGGTCCCTTCACACCTGGCCATAATAGCAAGGTATTGGGTGCACTTTTCCCATATCCAGCTCCAAAATATTTCTCTAAGAAACTGCAGAAGAACCAGCCCATCAGCTTAGCTGATGAATGCTTCTGCCAAACATTTCCAAAGGCCCAGGTCCCTGAACTTGAACTAAGTTAGAGCCTTAGTTTCCTTGATGTCAAATTAAAAAAAAAGAATTAAAACGATAAGGAGAACAGCAGCCCAGAATCACAAAAGCCCGTCAGAAGAGCAGTAACCTGCAGGGATACTTACCAGTGTGGGTCCGGACATGGCCCTGCAGCAGCCAGGGCCTGGAGAAGGCCTTCCCACAGGTTGCGCAGACACAGGGGAGAGTGTGGCTCCGAATGTGCATCTTGAGGGCGCCCAGGCTGAGGTATTCCTTGTTGCAGTACTTGCAGTTGAAAGCCTTGCGAGATTGGGGGTCCTTGGCCACGGAGAGCAGAGCCAGTTGCTTGGGCAGTTGGCCCAAGCCTGGGAAGGCAATGTAGGCCTCAGCCTCCAGGGAAGAAGCGGAGGTGGAAGAGAAGGAGGAAGGAGCTGGAGAGGGTGGGCTGGGGGGCTGCGAGCCCTTCCCGCTGTCCTCATCCGACAGGGAGGTCAGCTCTGCTGCCTGGGGGTTCTCCTGGGGCTGCAGGGAGGCCCAGCCAATGGGCTGCGTGTGGGGCGCTAGGAGACAGTCCCAGATGAGGGTGGGCAGCGAGGCGGTGGGGTTGAGGACCTCAGGAGGCGGGATGGCAGCCAGCAGGTGGGCCTGGTCGTAGGGCTGCTGGAAGGTGAACTCTGAGGAAGACAGAGAGGGACAGGATCAGACATCAATTAAACTTTCAATCTGTCAACAAACATCAGCCCACTGAGGGCTACAACTAAGGACAGAGGCGGTTCCTGCCCTCCCACGCCCTTGCTCAGCCAGGACACCACACTTGTGCCTCCTATAAGACAGACCCCCAACTTCCCAGCCCAGCTCGAGGGGGCCATTCCCAAGCCTCCCACTTCCTGTGTCTCCCAGGTCCCCAGCCCAAAGTAAGACCCCCAGGCCTGGTCTCAGCCCAGCTACCTGCAGATCCCCCTTCTACACCTCTCCTTCCGCCCCTCCCCCAACCCTCTGGACTCCGGACTCTTCATAGCCACTGGCCAGAGGACTCTCCTGGCACAGCCTTCTCTCCTGTCTACACTCGCGGAGCTTCTCTGCCTCTCGACCCCCACGAAGCCTCCTGTGCCCACAGCACAGCCCTCCACCCAACCGCCAAGATCCGAGGCTCCAGATCCACCTGCCCCGTGTCTCCGGAGCCCTGGCCTTTCTCCACAGGACATCCCACACTCAGCGTGGTCCCAGGACCTCTCCCTCAGAGGCCCCCCACGCCTGCGTCTCCCGAGTCCCTCTGCGGGTCCAGCATCTCTGCTCACCGGGAGAAGAGTCTTGCAGCTCGCTGTAATTGGGCTTCCGGCGAGGGACCGAGGGCTTCCTGACGAGGAAAGAGCGCGGCATGGTGGCTGAAGCAGCCGGGGTCGCCGGGTCGCGCAGGGGCCGCAGGGAACACCACCCGCGAGGCCGTGCAGCGGCGCTGTGAGTGAAGAAGCCCGCTGCCTCCTTTAAATACCCCAGCCTCGGGGCGGGGCCATGAGCGCCACGCCCCTTTGTCAACGCCGCACCAATCGGAGGCGCGCGTCCGCCAAAGGCCACGCCCCAAGCAGGTGCTCGGGGGACGGGCTGGGTTCGCGCCGCGTGGCGCTGGGAGCCCGGCTCCGGGCTGGTTCCACTCCCCGGAGGCAGGCTGTGGGGCGGGACGCCGGGCGCTGGGAGCCCTCGCGAGGCCGGACCCCCGCCGGACGCCCCGTGCTCGCCAACTCGGCGCCCCGCGTTTGAGCGCCTCTGGTGCCTGGGACCCCAATACCCGACCTTCCGCAGCCTGCCCGCGCCCGGGCTCTGGACGCGGGCGGAGAGGTCCTCCTCCTGGCGGCACCTCGCAAACAGCGTGGCGCAGACGAGAGACGGTGCCCACTGCTGGGGCGGATGCCAGGAAACCGGCCCTCGCCGTGGCCGCTGGCAACGTGGAGGGCCACCGGCTTTCTGCAAAGCAGTCTGGCATCGTGCGGCCAAAATGCGCTCGTCCCTTCGCTTCGCCCAGAGCCAGGCACTGTTCCTGGGGCTGCGGCTGCACCAGGGTCTCTCGCCCGGGAGCTCCTCGGTCGGCGGGGGAGACAGACGAAGTAAACAGGATTATAACGCACAGGGAGGGGGGCTAGGTGGAGGGGGGCTGCGGGAGAGACTGGACGCTGTGACCGTCTAGAGGCTGGTCACCTGACGGGGTGGGGGCGCGCGACTTTCCAGCGGAAGTGAAGAAATATGGAGGGGGAAGGCCCGAGGAAAGAATCAGTAACTGCTGCTCCCGGGGGTGGGAGGAATCAGGTTTGCCCGCCTCCAGGGCTTCTGAGAGCTTGGACTTTGCCTCAAGGGCACTGGGGAGCCAAGGAAGGATTTGCAGCGGAGGAGGGACCTGTTTCGAGTTTCGTCGGGAAAGATGGCTGTGGGCAAGCCGAGACAGCGGCAAGCCTAGGGCAGAGGCAAGCCCTTCACCCGAGAATCAGAGGCCCCGTGTCTGAAGGATCCAAGAAGCTCCACAGAGGACCCCGTCTGATTGGCATGTGGGATGGGCCCGAGGGAGAGCTGTACTCGGGTTCCAGCTCCCCTGTGAGGTGTGTCAGGCCCTGGGGTGGCCACAGAAACAAATCCCAAGGCCCATGGTACTGGCTTTCACTTGGAAGGCAGAATCATGACAACCTCTAAGTCTTCCCCACACCAACAAGAAGACAGGCAGGACAAGTGTCTGGTTTCCTCACTAGGTGCTGGGATAGCAGCTGAGAACAAATCACCCTCCCTCCTCCGACTGGTGAGGGATGCAGAACACATCGCCCTCCACAGCCCTTCAGTTCCACAGGAGGCTCCACTTGGAGCCAGAGGGAGCAGCAGATTGCCCCCCCCACAACCCTCACTCAGAGGAAAAGCCCATATCCTTGCCATGACAGCTTGGTCCTGCTGATCCAATCCCTGCTCACCTTCTCTTCAGCTCTCTTCCTCCCCCATGCAACAATGATTTCACCCAACCTCCTTCTGTTCCTCCCACATCCCAGCCCTTTCCCACCACAGGACCTTGGCACCTGCTGTTCAACCTCCCTTCTCACCAAATCTCTCTCCCATAGATCTTCACCTGGCTACCTTTTTTTTCATTCTTTGTTCCAGCAGCAATTTCACTAAGCAGCCACCCTCATTAGTAATGAGAGAAATGCAAATGGAATCCACAGTGAGATGTCATTTCACACTCACCAGAAGGACAAAAAGCAAAAATCTGATCAATATCAAGTGTTGATGAGGATGTCAGGGCTAGCCAGAGTGTCAACGGGCACAACTACTTGGGAAAAGTTTGACCTCAGTTAACAGGTGACTCCTCTCCCAGCAACCGGTGGCCTCCCAGGGGTTCTCAGCCCTGGCTGGCGCACAGCAGATTTCCCTACAGAGTGTTTAAAAATACTTAAGCCTGGGCCCCACCCCACCCCCACATCCTGATTTGATTATCTGGGGGTGGGGCTTCTGGCATGAGCATTTTGAAACATCTCCCTGATTCTTCTAAAGAGCAGCCAAAGTTAAGAACTGCTGCCCAGCCCCAAACCAGACCAAACAAGAGAAGGGTCATTGTACCCTTGGTCCTATTTTAAAAGAAAAGAAATGGATACCACCCAAATGTTTATCAACAGAAGAGTGGATTAAGAAAACTAGAAGGGGCTGGGTTTGTGGCTCAGTGGTGGAGCGCTTGCCTAGCCTGTGTGAGGCACTGGATTTGAGTCTCAGCACCACCTATAATAAATAATAAAGTCCACCAACATCTAAAATATATGTGTATAAAAAAACTGTAATGCAATCCTACAAAAGGATTCTACCCATAAAGATGAATTACACATGAACTACAACTCCATGCAACAACAGAGATGAATCTCAAAAACATAATGTTGAACAAAAGAAGTTAGAAACCAATGCATCACAGATGGCTGGATTTACATGTGGGCCAAATGCGGGCACACTCACCCCAGTATTATTTAGGGATCCACACATACAAGGCAGTAAAACTATAAAGAAAAGTAGAGATCTGGAGGCTGAGGCAGGAAGAACGCTAGTTCAAAGCTAGCCTCAGAAATTTAACAAGGCCCTAAGCAACTCTGTCTCAAACTAAAAAAGCAAACTAGGAAATGTTTAATACAAAATTCTGAATGGGGTTAGGCTGGGAAAGGAGGAGCTAAAGAGAAGTTGCCTGGGAAGTTTAGAATTCTGGTGATGTTCTGTTTTCCAATCAGGGAAGCATCTTTATTATTAGTGTCTCTCTCTTTCTTTTTGGAAGTTCTGGAGACTGAACCCAGGGGCCTGTACACAGGAGGCAGGTGCTTTATCACTGAGCTACATCCCTAGCCTGTTATTAATCTTTAAACTGTATACAGATAATCCAACCCGGTTGGGTGTGAATGACATAACTTAAGACACATGAGCACACACACTTAATATGTGCGAGGCCCTGGGTTAGAAGAAAAGAAAGAAGGGAGGGAGGGAGGGAGAGAGAGAAGAGCGGGAGGAGAGTTAGTTACTAAGTCACCTCCTCCAGGGAGTATAAAGCAAGACCCCACCCACCTCAGCACCCAGTTTCTACCCAATTATCCTATTCTGTTATCTTCAAAGCAGGTAGCAGGTAGCGGAGCCTCAATCAGGTGTTTGTTGAATGATTTCCAACCCCACCTTTTCCTAGCTGGGTCACAAAGTGGCTCCCATCACGTGAGGATTTGGGGAAGGGTAAACCAGCCACGGGCCCCCACAAGCTCCAAGCACCCACTGCCTCGTTTTCCATTTTCCCCCAAGGGTTCCAGCACCTGCGCTGGGGAGGGAGGGCGTGGGGACGGGGCGATCAGGAGGTGGAGCAGCACCCTCCTGGGCCCAGCGCAGGTCCGAGGGCTCCACCGTGAGCCCCGCCCTCGCGGGGTCTGCGCCAGGGCGAGGGCGTGGCCCTTCTTGCAGGGGAAGCCGAAGTGACTTTTTTTGTTTTTATTTTTATTTCTTTGTTTGTTTATTTACCAGGATTTGAGGCCCTGAGCCACATGCCCAGCCCTTTATTTTATTTTGGGAGAGGGTCTCGCCGAGTTGCTCCTGCCCCAGGTCTGCCCCACTGTCCTGGTCGCGGACCTCCGGCGTCCTCTGCTGGCCGAAGCGCCTCCCGGGGACCTTTCGTGGGGGTGAAAATCAATCCGTTGTTTTGGAGAGGGGTCCCGGACTATTTTATGTGACCAGACAAGGCTCTGGAAGGAAGCTAAATCTGAACAGACATCTGCATTTTCTTTCCCTCTCCCTCCTTTTCTTTCCTTCTTTCCTACCAGGGATTAAACCCAGGGACACTTAACCCTTAAGCCACACCCCACGCCTTTTTATTTTTATTTTTATTTTTTATTTTTTAAAGAGAGAGAGAATTTTTTAATATTTATTTATTTTTCCTTAGTTCTTGGCGGACACAACATCCTTGTTGGTATGTGGTGCTGAGGATCGAACCCGGGCCGCACGCATGCCAGGCGAGCGCGCTACCGCTTGAGCCACACCCCAGGCCTTTTTATTTTTTGAGATAGGGTCTCGCCAAATTGCTTATGGCCTCGCTAAATTTGAGGCTGGCTTTTTTGTTGTTGTTGTTGTTTTAAATTTTTCGTTGTAGAGGGACACAATACCTTTATTTATTTATACCTGGCGCTGAGGCTCGGACCCAGTGCCTCGCACATGCTAGGCAAGCACTTGGCCACTGAGCGATAACCCCTGCCCATTGAGGCTGGCTTTGAACTTGCTATCCTCCTACCTCAGCCTCCGGAGCTGCTGGGCTTGGGCCACCACACCTGCGACATCTGCATTTTCTACGGATGCCAATCCACCATGAAAAGCAAAACTGAAAATGTGACTTACAATCAACAACCAAAGAAAAACGTTCAGTAACTATTTTTCCCAGTGTCTTTTTTTTTTTTTTTTTTTTGAGGTGGGGTACCAAGGATTGAACCCAGGAGGCTTTACCATTGAGTTACATCCACAGCCCTTTTTATTTTATTTTGATACTGTAGCTTGAACCCAGGGACACTTAACCACTGAGCTACATCTGTAGACATTTTTTTTATTTTGAGTCAGGGTCTCACTAAATTGCTTTGGGCTTCACTAAGTTTCTGAGGCTGGCTTTGAACTTGCTGATCCTCCTGCCTCAGACTCCTGAATGGCTGGTATCACAAGCATGGGAGCTGCACCCTTTTTAGAGCATGGATTATGCCAGAACCACACAACTATCCAACAAAAGGACTCGTGATGGGCATTTAGGTTAGATTACAATTTTCTTTTGCTACTACAAATAACATGGAATTTTCAATAAATGACTTATACACATATTTTTGCACTCCAGGTATAAATGTCCTCCAAAAAGGTTAGACTAAATTATATTCAAGCAGGAATTGAGGGCTCCTTTTCAAAATAGCTGACACAGACTATTGTCTTTTTCTATTTTTTATTTTTTTTTGTACTAGGGTTTGAACCCGGGGATGCCTTACCTCTAAACTATAGTCCCTTTTTTAGTTTTTATTTTGAGACAGGATCTCACTAAATTGCTTAGGGACCACTAATTTGCTGAAGCCGGACTCAGACGTCATCCTGGCCCTCGTCCTCCCAATTTGCTGGGATTGCAGGCCTGTGCCACCACGCCTAGCTGTCTAATTTTTTTTTTTTTAATCTTTGCCGTCTGAGAAGGGAACCTGGGTCTTCTAGCGGAGATTTGCGTTTCATGTGAGCAGCGTTTTGCGGGGAGGCACCAGGGACTGAACTCAGGGGCACTCAACCACTGAGCCGCGTCCCCAGCCCTATTTTGTATTTTATTTAGAGACAGGGTCTCCCTGAGTTGCTTGGCGCCTGGCTCTTGCTGGGGCTGGCTTTGAACTTCCAGTCTCAGCCTCCGGAGCTGCCTGGCAGGCGCCATCTTTTCTACATTCTCTGAATCCGTTTCAGTTTCTCTGTGTTTTGAACCACTTTTCAAGTCCTGATCACCAAGTCGATGAACTTCTCATTTCTAAGAGCTCTTTGTCTATCAGGTGAGCTGGTCTCTATTGATTAGATCATTAATCAGTGAAGGGATCAATCCAGAGTTGGCGAGTTAATCGGGATTGGAAGGAAGATATCGCCCAGGGAAAGTTCCTGTGTCAGGCAGGGCTCCACTGGCCCTTCATCCCTGATTTAAACCACAAAGCCTCACCCAGGGTCTCTCATTTGTCTGAAAACACAGTCAGCCTTGGGCCTTGCCCAGTAAATCAAACTCCCAGGGAAGTTTCTGGGTCAGGATTCAAGTCTTGGGCGTGGCCAGAGCTGGCTCTCAGGAAGACATGGGAGCCATTCTCCTTCCATTTGCAGAGGACTTTAAATGTGTGAGGTTCATTTGCACAGGTGTCCCCACAGCATCCCAGAGTGGCCCGCATAAGGACCAGTTCATGTAGCACCAGGTGGCCATATTGCCCATTTGTCAAAAAGGAGGAGAAAGGGGGCTGGGCTGGGGCTCAGAGGTGGAGCGCTCCCCTGGCAAGTGTGAGGCACTGGGTTCGATCCTCAGCATCACACAAAAATAAGTAAAAAGGTACTGTATCCATCTAGGAAAAAAAAAAAAACAAAAAACCTGGGTCTAATCCCTTTGACTGAACAAAAATTAGAAATTTTCAAATATATTTGTTCAAAAAAAAAAAAAAAGGAGCTGAGGATGTGGCTCAAGCGATAGTGCACTCGCCTGGCATGTGTGCGGCCCAGGTTCGATCCTCAGCACCACATACCAGCAAAGATGTTGTGTCCGCCGAAAACTAAAAAATAAATATTAAAAAAAAAAAAAAAAGAAAAAACCTGGGGGGTCAACTTGGAAAACGGAAGTTCCCCAGGGCCTGGAGGGTGGATGTGTGTGGGTGGGCGGAACACAAAGCCAAAAGCCGGCTCTCTGCACCTGCAAGATACACCTGCCACCCTGCTCACTCCTGGGAGGGGCCGGCTGAGCTCAGGCTGAGCAACCTTCCCCAAGTGGTCCCCAGGTGGTCCCCTGGCAGCTGCATGGTGGCGGGTTGCTGTGTGTGCTCCGGCCTCTCAGACCACTTGCTTCCAGCTTCAGCCAGGGTTGGTAGAGCTCTTCCTCTGCCTGCCTGGCAGGAGGCTGAAAGTACCCGCTGGGCCTCCTCCCCTCTATCATGGATGGCCGCCTCGCTCACTCCTAGAGAGCTCTGAACCACAGAGGATGAGCATAATGCCAAGGAGGGGATGCTGGAGATGGAGGCACATGCTTAGGACGCACAAGGCCCCCGGTTTAAGCCTCAGTGAACACAAAAAAAGCCAACAAAAGCCAGGGATGGTGGCGCACACCTCTAATCACAGCCACTAGGGAGGCTGAAGCAGGAGGATTGCAAATTGGAGGCCAGTTTTAGCAAGACATTGTCTCAACTGGGGAGACAGCTCAGTGGTCCAGCACTCCTGGGTCCAATTCCTTTCAATTGAAAAAAAATTAGAAATGTTCAAATGGAAAATTGTGGTCTCTTTTTCACTTTTTTTTTTTTTCCATGTGGGGCCGGGGATCAAACCCAGAACCTCACAGACGCTAGGCAAGTGCTCTACCACTGAGCCCCAGCCCATGTTTTTCACATTTTTTTAAAAATACATTAACACTTACCACATGTGTACAAATGATGGCAGAGCACGGATCCCAGGTACAGCCTAGTCCAACCACTACAGTCCTGAGCCCAGAGAAGCCCCTTTGCCTCAGAGGTATACACCTACCAGGTGAGGGTCACCTCAGCAGCCCTCCGGGCAGGCAGGCAGACAGGCACGTGCACACCTCCCAAGAGCAGCCCCTCTCCTGACTTCAACTGGCTTTTCTCACTTATCTTGAGATAGTGTTGCAGATAAAATAAGATGCCCAGTAAAATCTAATTTCAGATAAACAACAAAGGTTTTTAGCATAAGACTGCACAGAACATACACAGCTCTCTGAAATTTAAATTTAACTGGGCCTCCAGGTTTCTTTGCTAAATCTGGTGGCCTTGCTTAGAAATTGATTCCTATCAGCATTTAGAGCACAATCTAGAACCAGTCCCCTGTTGATGGGCAGTTAGCTTGTTTCTCATCTTTTGCTTTTCAGAACAATACTCCTGGGAAAACCCTTGCGCAGAGGACTCTGACCTCCTCTACAATTTATCTGTAGGGCGTGTTCCTAAAACTTGCTTTGTCCCGCCTGCATTCCTGAGGGATGCAGTTGGCAACTCCAGGCCCCTTCGGTCTCCCGGGAGAGCAGCACCCTCCCTTCCCCACCTTCCCACCTTGCTGTCTCCTCTGTCTCCATCTCTCTCTCTTTCTCACTGTCCCTCCTTAGGTGTGTCCCTCTGTCTATCTCCCCAGACTCTCCCAGTCTCTGTCTCTCACCCTTCCTCTTTTTGACCCAGCAGCTCTACATACAAAATAGCCAGTCAAGCTGGCAAAGATGTGCAGTGTCTGCAGAGGTGTTCACACGCGGTCTATCACCCGTCAAACTGGAAACGACCTAAATGCCCACTGAAAAATTAAGTGCACTCCATCCTTACAAGGAAGCATCAGGCTAAAATAATGCTGGCAGGTGACAGAGTGAAAGTCGGGGGCTACAGATGGGAGCTAAAGTATCAACCACTTTAAGTTCAACCAAAAAATATGGTGACCCGGAGATCTGTAAGAATTCTAATATCGACTATAATGGTTTTTGTTGTTTGCTTTTTGGTACTGGCATGGAACTCAGGGCCTCGCACACGCTAGGCAGGCACTTCGTCCCCCTCGGGACGTGGAGGTGAACTTGCCTTCTTCCTGCCTCAGCCTCCTGCACAGCTGGGATCACAGGTGGGCGCCACCACAGCCTCCGCTGAGGGGGTCTTGAAGGCTGTCTGTCAGGTGGAGAGGAGTGGATCACTTTTGCTTGTATTTTTCTTTCCCTGTTTTTTTTTTTTTTTTAAGTTGCATGGCACACTGGGCATAGTGGCACACACCCGTAACAATAGCTACTCTGGAGGCCGGGATAGGAGAACTGCAAGTTGGTGGCCAGCCTAGGTAACTTAGAGAGGCCCTGTCTCAAAATAAAAAATAAAAAGGGCTGGGGATGTAGCGCCCCTGGGGTCCACCCCCAGTGTTGAAAAAAAAGTTGCATTATAATTTTTGCATTGTAATTCTTTTAAAAAATATTTTTTTAGTTGTAGTTGGACACAACACCTTTATTTCACTTGTTCATTTTTGTATGTGGTGCTGTGGATCAAACCCAGGGTCTTGCACGTACAAGGTGAGTGCTCTACCGCTGAGCCACAACCCCAGGCCACGCATTGTAATTCTTAACACTGTGCTTATTTGCTCTGTCATGCCCTAACTCCCCCGTGTATGT